TTAAGATGTCACTTTGACTCATGCTTATTTAGAAATATGTTGTTAATATCCAGATATTTTGAGTTGTTAGCTATCTTATCGTTGATCTGCAATTTAATTCTGTGTCACCAGAATAAATTCTGTTTAACATTTTTATGTTCAGATGTTGATTGAAATTTATTGATGGCCCAGCATAAGGAGTATTTTACCTTAAAGGTTAGAAGTATGCAATAGTAAAATTCTGTTCCTCATCTTTTGTGCTGTTGTCATATATTTTCCTTCTGTGTCCAAAATGCATGATTACCATTTTTACTTTAAGCAGGTAGTTGTTATTCAAAGTAATTTGTCTTTTTTTTTGACAAGGTCTTGCCCTGCTACCCAGGCTGGAGTGCAGTGGTATGATCTTGGCTCACTGCAGCTTCCGCTTCCTAGGTTCCAGCAATTCTCCCACCTCAACTCCCCTGAGTAGCTGGATCTACAAGAGTGTGGCACCACGCCTGGAGAATTTTTGTATTTTTTGTGGAGATGGGGTTTTGCCATGTTGCCTAGGTTGGTCTCGAACTCCTGAGCTCAAGCAATCTGCTTGCCTCAGCCTCCCAAACTGTTGGGATAACAGGTGTGACCCACCATGCCTGGCCTGTCTTTTATATTTACTCACATTTGTCATTTTGGTTTCTCTTTATTCTTTCTCTAGATCCGAGTTTCCATCTGATATTGTCTCCTTTTAACTTGAAAAATACTCTTTACATTTTTTTTTTATAGTTCAGGTTTATTGCTGATAAAGTCTCTCAGCCTTTATCTGAAAATGTTGTAATTTTACTCTCATATTTTAAAGGACATTTTTTATTGGTTATAGAATTTGGGTTGACAGATTTTTTTTTTTTTTGAGTCAGAGTCTCACTCTGTCACCCAGGCTGGAGTGCAGTGGCACGATCTTGGCTCCCTGCAACCTCCACCTCCCAGGTTCCAGTGATTCTCCTGTCTGACTCCCTCCTCCCGCCCCAAGTGGCTGGAATTACAGGTGCCCACCACCATGCCTGGCTAATTTTTGTATTTTTGTTAGACACGGGGTCTCGCCATGTTGGCGAGGCTGGTCTTGAAGTCCTGGGCTTGAGTGATCTGCCCGCCTCAACCTCCCAAAGTGCTGGGAATACAGGCGTGAGCTACTGCACCTGGCCAAGTTTTTTTTTTTTTTTTTTGGTCCTTCTTTCAGCATTGTAAATATTGTTCTGTTGTCTTCTTGTTTTCATTGTTGCTGGTGTGTCAGCTGCTGGTTGTTTGTTGTTTCTCTGCGTGTAATGTATATCTAGGTATAGATCTCTTTGTTTTTGTTTTCATTGAACTTGCTAAGATTCTTAATTATGTAAATTAATATTTACTACCAACTTTGGTAAAATTCTAGTCATTATTTGCTCAAATACTTTTTTCTTCCCTATTTCTTCTTCTTCTAGGACTTCAATTACATGAATATTTCATTGCTTATTATTCTTCCTTATAGAACCTCAGTCTTTTTTCTTTTTCTTAATTCTTTTTTTTTTTCTGTTTGTTCTTCAGAGTTCAGATTGAAAACTATAGAAGAAACGTTTAGTGCCTCTGGGACTAAATCAATGGAAAGTGTCTGCTATTAATGATAGCTAATTACCTTTTCATTTCAGATATTACTTTTTCAGTTTGAGAATTTCCATTTGGTTCTTTGTGGTATTACCTATCTCGCTCCTAAAATGACATCTGCTTGTTATAACCATATTTTTCTTTAACTCTTTGACATTTTATAGTGGATGTTTCATAGTTGCTGTTTACCAATTCCAAAATCTGGATCGTTTCAGGGTCTATTTCTATTGCCATTTCCCTCCTTTGATTACACGTCACATTTTATTGTTTCCTTACATATCTAATAATTGTTTTACTATGTGGAACATTATGATCAATACACTATAGGGAGTCTGGATTAAAGAGCATTGAGTTTTGTTCATGTAGGTAGTTAAATTCCTGGCAGATTGGCCCCTTTAGCATTGAATCCATCTATCTGTCTGTCAATCAGCTAATCATAGGTCAGGTAGCTCCATTTTGAACTAATTCCGAGTGCACAGCAGTTTATCTAGGGTGAGATCTTTATTACTAAGACATAGCCTTCCTGGTGTTTCAGTTGAGTGCCTGAGGCCTCAGCAGAGATTTCCTTCCTCTCCTTGGGCGGCATCTCCTACTGCATGACCTCCAGTATCTTCAGTCGGCATTCAGCCCCATAGCTGCTGCTTTCTTAGGCCTCATGGAGTCTGGCCCTACTTATGGACAGGGAAGCTGTGGGCAAAGTACCCTGGGTAAATCCCTATTGAAACTTCTGGGGCAAACCCTCTGTTACTCAGGCTCAGAAACTCCAGATGCTTCTACAACTTGGAACAACCATTTCTTCCTCCACAGCTCAGTGAAACTGCAGTTCTTCCTGGGCAGAAAATGTCCCCTGGCAGAAAGCCAGGTCAGTCCCGGGCCACCACCTCTATTTCCCATCTCTTGAGGCTCACAGCCCTGTGTTACCTGCAGTCCAGTGCTTGAGAACAGCTGTGTCATATGTTTTACCCAATGTTAACGGTTTCCAAGGGAGGGTAAGTCCTCTCTCATGGTTGGAAGCAGAAGCCTGGCAGTTTGCTTGTCAGCTGTGTCTTCCTCATTAATAATATTCACGGTGGCCAGGCATGGTGGCTCACGCCTGTAATCCCAGCACTTTGGGAGGCCAAGGCGGGTGGATCATGAGGTCAGGAGTTCAAGACTAGCCTGGCCAATGTGGTAAAACCCTGTCTCTACTTAAAATACAATAATTAGCTGGGTGTGGTGGTGCATGCCTGTAGTCCCAGCTGATCAGGAGGCTGAGGCAGGAGAATCGCTTGAACTTGGGAGACGGAGGTTGCAGTGAGCCGAGATCATGCCACTGCACTCCAGCCTGAGCAACACAGCAAGACTCCATCTCAAAAATAAATAAATAAATAAAGATAATATTCATGGCACTTCATGATTTTTTTTAATCCTCTCTGGAGTATGACTGATTTTGTTTCAGCAGACCCCAAATTTCTGCATTGACTATAGAGTTATCGTTCACTTAGGTTAACTTCTGTTACAACCCAAGTATCCGCCCAGCCTTTTACTCTACCTCTACACCTGGTCACCATAATACATGAATTACAGGTAGGCTGCCTGGTGCAGCCAGAGGAACTTTATCTTTTTCACAGATTGTCATCTGTGCCATCTTTAATCCTCATTGTTGGCAGCAGACACAGTCTGTGGATGATAGTTCAAGTTGGGCACAGTTGATTTCAGATTTCTTGAGAATGGTCAGTTTAGGCTTAGAGTTTGCTGTTGACATTTTCCTTTTATTTTCTTAAAATTAGGAATCAAATTTACATGCTTTAAAAAACGTGGTGTACTTTCTGCATGTGGAGTTAACATATTTGTATGTAAGATTGTCTGTATAAGTATTTACAGGTAGTTTGTAGTCACTAAGTCACGTTACGTTCTGTTTCTTTCTTGCGGGGGCGGGCTGGTCTCTCTCCTTCCCTCTTTTCTTCTCCCTCACCCCCACCTTTTCTTCTCTTTATATTATTGATTCAATTATATTCGCATAATAGCAATTTTTAAATTTTTCTTTTTCTCTTTTTTTTTTTTTTTTTTTTTTTTTTTTGAGACAGAGTCTCACTCTTGTTGCCCAGGCTGGAGTGCAGTGGTGCAATCTTGGTTCACTGCAACCCCCGCCTCCTGGATTCAAGTGATTTTTCTGCCTCAGCTTCCCGAGTAGCTGGGATAATAGGTGCACACCATCATGCCTGGCTAATTTTTGTATTTTTAGTAAAGACAGGGTTTCACCACGTTGGCCAGGCTGGTCTTGAACTCCTGACCTCAAGTGATCTGCCATTGCCCCCCTCCCCCCACTAAGTGCTGGGATTACAGGTATGAGCCACTGTGCCTGTCCATTTTTTAACTTTTCAAAAATGTTTTCACTTTGGTCTGGTCCTTGCTTTCCCCTTTCACATAGTCCTGGTGGACAGTCTTGTTGCCTCTTGGCTGGAATATTATTCTAGCAGCAACTCATTCTCCTCCTTCCAGTAGTCTCGTGGCCAATCACTTCTACTGTTTAATCTTCCTTCAGTTTCTCCCTCTAACTTGAAAAACCACACATACTCTTCCATATTGCCTTTTTTAAGGTTCACCTGCTTCAGCCCCGCTTCCGTAAGCTTCACCTGCTTCAGCCAGATTTGGGCTGCTCTTTGTTCAGCAGCCCTCACATCCCCCTTTTCCGTACTTATGTCTTAGCTAGGCCTCCCCTGCAGCACCCTTCCCTTCCCTCCATAAAGTCCCTTCTTCATTGTCCAAGGTCTCTCCCACCCAGTGTCCCTCAGTTGGAACTGTCCCCAGTTCTCTGTGCAAGTCACAGTTGAATCACAGCTGTCTGGACATACCTAGCCCTGTCTCCCAAGACAGGAAAACACGACTGTGTCACCTCATCTGGGACTCCTGGTGTCTTCCAGATAGTTGAAACTCCATAAATATTTGTCATTTCACATTGATCACATTGAAACCTTGTGATCCAGGCAGGGTGAAGAGACTAAGGCCCGGTGTGTTTAATACTGTTGTTCAGAGAATTAGCGATTGGTACGGATTTGTAGTCCACGTCCTCTTGTTTGGTTCCTCTGACAGCCTCCCTGCCCTTATCTAATTTGGCTCAAAATTACTTTGGTTGGCTCTTAAGTAGAAACTTATGTCCTTTTGTACTTGGGGGCATGTCTGAATTCATTAAATGGGGTGGGAGATTTTTCTTCTCCTTCCCACTCTTCACCTTGCTGTCCTGGTAAGACACAGCTGCCACCACTAAAGGCACTGGGGTTGGGGGGGTGCGGAAATGCTGGTCCTTAGAGCAGCTGTCTTGGGTTATCTGGTCTCCACCTCACACAAGACTTCCTCAGGTCTGCAGTGTCCTAAGCCTGACTTAGTATCCCTGTATGAATGTAATTCTCTACTTCCCTCTTTTATTTCAGGCACTTCGTCTTAGTAACATGGCCATGGGGAAGACAACCACAGGCCAGATAGTCAATCTGCTGTCCAATGATGTGAACAAGTTTGATCAGGTAAGCTGCAGCTCAGGGATCTTTTTCATTGCATTAAACACCCCACCCCCTCTGTTTATTCTTTCTGGAGACAGGGGTTCACTCCATTTCCCACACTGGACTGCAGTGGCAGGATCATAGCTCACTGCAGCCTTGAACTCCTGGGCTCAAGTGATGTGTGATCCTCCCGCCTCAGCCTCCTGATTAGCAGGGACTGCAGGTGCACACCACCACACCCAGCTTCTTTCTTTCTCTTTTTTTGAATTTTCATGTCAGATGGGCTAACGTGGTGACGTCATAACAAAATTCGAGGGTGGCACATCTCACACATGTGCGTGAACACCCGATTTTCATGCTCATGAACTACAAAAGGATTGCTGGCTAATTTCTTTTTTTATTTTTTTGTAGAGAAGGGATCCTGCCTTGTTGCACAGGCTGGTCTAAAAATTCTGGCCTCAAGTGATTTTCCCACCTTGGCCTCCCAAAGTGCTGGGGTTACAGGTGTGAACCAACATACCTGCCCAGTGTCCATTCTTTAACATTTACCTTGTGGAGGTATCATGTTATCCAGGGCATTCTAGCTGTTGGCCATATCCTTTTGGCATTAGGACCACTTTTTTTTTTTTTTTTTTTTTTTAGACTTTTTTTTTAATAGACGGAGTCTCCCTCTGTCACCCAAGCTAGAGTGCAGTGACACAATCTCAGGTCACTGCAACCTCTGCCTCCTGGGTTGAAGTGATTCTCCTGCCTCAGCCTCCTGAGTAGCTGGGATTACAGAGATGCGCCTCCATGCCTGGCTAATTTTTTTTTCCCCTTGTTTGTATTTTTAGTAGAGACAAGGTTTCACCATGTTGGCCAGGGTGGTCTCGAACTCTTGACCTCAGGTGATCCGCCCTCCTCGGTCTCTCAAAGTGCTGAGATTACAGGTGTGAGCCACCGTGCCCGGCCACTTTTTTTCCCCCCATTTATTTATTCATCAGACGCGAACTAAAAGCCTTCGCTCAGTGTCAGGGATAATGAATAAGAGTTGGTTTCGGTTCTGAAGAAGCTCACGGCCTGTCAGGGAGACAAATACACAAGTCAATTACTGGAGTATGTGGTGAACACTATAGTACAGGCTTTCTTGGGGTACCGGGGAGCCCCAGGGCATATGGGAGCTGAGTTCTGTGACAGAGACTTCTGGAAAGTGCTCAGCTCATCAGTGAGGTAGTCATGATCAAGATCTCCTTCTAATGCCACTGGTCAGATTCTCTTTCGAGTCCCCCAGACCCGCTCTTTGCTTCCCCAGAATGGCTTCATCTGTGGTGGGTGCTTGGCTTTCTGCTTTAGCAGGTGTCAACCCACTGTGGTCATTTCTGTTTAGGGTCTTGCCATTCTTTCCCAGTGGACCGTTTCTGTACTGTGTTCTTACTGGTTCTGCTTTTCCAGAGTCCTAAGAACACTGTCTTTTTCTTTGAAGGTGACAGTGTTCTTACACTTCCTGTGGGCAGGACCACTGCAGGCGATCGCAGTGACGGCCCTGCTCTGGATGGAGATAGGAATATCGTGCCTTGCTGGGATGGCAGTTCTAATTGTTCTCCTGCCCTTGCAAAGCTGTTTCGGGAAGTTGTTCTCATCACTGAGGTAAGAGAATTACTGGTGTGAGAAATGTCATATGTATTTGGTAACATCCACAGTCTTCCCAATGCTTTTGTTCAGAAACAAACTAAATGCCTTTTATTATCTCTTCTTTGCATATGTTGCAGTTCTTCAGGCTTAGCCAAGGGGGCCTCCATCCTTACGCTGAGGGCTAATCTTCAGGGGGCAAAGTTGAAGGCTTTCACTGGCTCCTCCCAGCCAGCATTCAGGCTCCGTGGCCTCAATAAGTAGAGTGTCCTTATGCGGAAATCACATATGTAGAAGTTAGTTAAACATATAATGAAGAATAATAAACTGAAATATTTCATAGGCTCCACTCTAGCTGCATACATCTTTACTGTGCTTGTATTAGAGCTACTTTCACATGTGTATACATGTGTGTTATTTTTAATTCAATATATCCATTAAATTGTAAGCTCCCCAGAGGCACGGTGAATTTGAATGATGTATTTATAAAATCACACAGTCCTACACAGTCCTAGTAGCATATGTGTTAGGATATGTTTGTTGGCTGGTCGTGGTGGCTGATGCCTATAATCCTGAGGCCAGGAGTTCGAGACCTGCCTGGCTAACATGGTGAAACCCGGTCTCTACTAAATTTAAAAAGTTAGCCGGGTGTGGTGGTACATGCCTGTAAGTCCAGCTATTTGGGAGGCTCAGGCTCGAGAATCATTTGAACCCAGGAGGCGGAGGATGCAGTGAGCCGAGACTGTGGAGACTCTGTATGGAAGGAAGGAAGGGAGGCAGAAATAAAGCTGTTGGTCAAGAGGTTAATGATGACAAAATAATTTAGGCATGAAGCAGGTCCCAGTGGATTGGAAATGAGTCATTGTGAAGGCTGACAGCTGGATCGAGATGCGCCACTGTTTGGTGTGCATTCATTTCTTTGTTTTATGCTCTTGCTTATGGTGTACTTTTTACTTGGAACTTCCCCTCTTTTCCATCTGGAGAAATATTTCCTTGTCCTTTGAGGCCCTTTCAAATGCTCCCGGTCCTCTGAAGCTTTTTTTTTTGCTCTCCTCTTTCCCAGTGGAGCTGACAAACAGCCCTTTCTTTTCTGCTCCCCAGCACTTCATTCCCATGTCGTTACACTCCGCCCACAGTGTTATCGTCAGGTTCGGGTGCCTTTCTGCCTTCCCTGCGCACCTGTGAGCTCCTCAAGGGGACAGATTACATCTGACTCATTTTCATGTCTTCAGCAGATATGGCAAATTCTCCAAAATACTTATTGAGTTGGAATAGATCGTTGACTTCCTAATTGAAGTCTTTTTCTATTTGTATTTTGAGTAGGACCTGTCTGTGTTGTCTGAAACAAAAGCGCTGTAGGGAACCACATGTTGCGGGTCCCTGCCTGTGCCTGCTGCTGATAAGGGCAGGCTGTGATCGCTCAGGCTCATCTCCCGTGTCTTGTCCCCTTTAGGAGTAAAACTGCAACTTTCACGGACGTCAGGATCAGGACCATGAATGAAGTTATAACTGGCATAAGGATAATAAAAATGTATGCCTGGGAAAAGTCATTTTCAGATCTTATTACCAATTTGAGAAGGTAAGTTTTTGTATACATTGTACTGGATTTTTGTACTTTGCTATTCTTGTTGAATGGTTTTAGAATTTTTACTATGTTTTCACATTATGGGATGTTCATTACAATCCATCCCACTCCCCACGCGTGGGAGCTGGGTTAAGTAGAAACTCAGAGGACATTACTTTCACTTGATCTTCCATTCACTATGTTCTTAAAACAAAAAGCATGTATGCTTCTTACTAATACAAAAGTGAAAATCCAAATGTTTCTGAATATCCCAATTCCCCACAACAATGATTCTAAGATATTAGTATTTGAGAATAATAATGTTTAAAATAAAACTATAATTTATATTAATGTAGCCAAATGGACAGGTTATAGAGATGGGGCATATCTGTATTGGACCAAACTATATGAATCAGTATTTTTCATTTCAAATAGGCATGAAAATACTGCTAGTTTGCTTTGTGTTATTAGAAATTTTTTGGGGGCCAGGCATGGTGGTCACGCCTGTAATCCCAACACTTTGGGAGGCCAAGGAAGGTGGATCGCCTGAGGTCAGGAGTTCGAGAGCAGCCTGGCCACCATGGTGAAACCCCATCTCTACTAAAAATATAAAGATTTGCTGGGCTTGGTGGTGCGTGCCTGTAATCGCAGCTGCTTGAGAGGCTGAGGCAGGAGAATTGCTTGAATGCAGGAAGTGGAGGCTGCAGTGAGCTGAGATTGCACCTGAGATCTCTCACTTTAAATCAAAATTGTACTCCAGCCTGGGCAACAAGAGCAAAACTCCATCTTTAAAAAAGTTTTTTTTTTTTGTTTTGTTTTTTGGCTTTGGTTTAAATATTCGATTAGTTGTTACATTTCAGCACATGGTACTTCTTATGATTTCCTGGGTAGTTCCTGGCCACCTCTCACCTTTGCACTTTTCCTTGAGTCAGAGTCTCTGTCGCCCAGGCTGGAGTCCAGTGGTGCAATCTCAGCTCGCTACAACCTCGACCTCCCGGGTTCAAGCGATTCTCCTGACTCAGCCTCACGAGTAGCTGGGGTTACAGGTGTGTGTCACCATACCCAGCTGATTTCTATATTTTTAGTAGAGATGTGGTTTTGCCATGTTGGCCCCCCTGGTCTTGAACTCCTGACCTCAGGTGATCCACCTGCCTCAGTCTCTCAAAGTGCTGGGATTACAGGTGTGTACCACCATGCCCAGCTAATTTCTATATTTTTAGTAGGGATGTGGTTTCACCATGTTGGCCAGGCTGGTTTTGAACTCCTGACCTCGGGTGATCCACCCACCTCAGCCTCTCAAAGTGCTGGGATTACAGGTGTGAGCCACCATGCCTGGCCAACCCTTCCACTTTTGTAGATGGATCTTTCTGTGTTTCAGATGTGCTTTCTTTCACTCTTCCCTGACTGCCACCAGCATGTGACCCTCGCTGGCTCCACCACTTTGAGTTACTGCTTCTCTCATGGGACCCTGGACTAGCCATGTCTGTCTAGCATCTTGGGTTCTCACAATTTTGGAGTTGCTTACTTTCTTCTCACATGAGTTCCTGAGCTTCTGGAGTGTGTCCAGTCTGTGAGACAGACTGTGTCTCACTCATCAGCAAGGTGGCTGGTATAGGACTTGTGTTTACAAAACTTGTTGAATGAGTTGGTTTGAATGCTTCTTCTAGCCCTGCCTGATTGATGCAGAATGTCAGACTATGGCTTTGCACATCATTTTGTTGGATAAGTGAAGTGGTTATTCACTGGTCTGTGCGGGCCTTGATTTGAAGCTGTCCCCAGGGAATGTGCTATCGTGTTTCCCTAATGTAAGGGACAGTTTACCTTAATCTATGTCCACTGCCTCGAAAGGGCCACATGCCAAAGGCACTTGAAGTCATGACTTTGATTTTTCTGTGTTATTTTGTTTTTGTTTTGAGACAGGGTCTCACTCTGGTTACCCAGGCTGGAGTGCAGTGGCATGATCTTGGCTCACTGCAACCTCCACCTCCCAGGCTCAAGCGATCCTCCCACCTCAGACTCCCAAGTAACGGGGACTGCAGGCATGCATTACCACACCCAGCAAATTTTTGTATTTTTTGCAGAGATGGTGTTTCACCTTGTTGCCTGGGCTGGTCTCAGACTCCTGGGTTCAAACGATCCATCTACCTCAGCTCCCAAAGTGCTGGGATTGGAGGCATGAGCCGCTTTGCCTGGCTGATGTCACTGCTTTTTAAAAAATCTGTACTCTCTTCCAGGAAGGAGATTTCCAAGATTCTGAGAAGTTCCTACCTCAGAGGGATGAATTTGGCCTCGTTTTTCAGTGCAAGCAAAATCATTGTGTTTGTGACCTTCACCACCTATGTGCTCCTTGGCAAAGTGATCACCGCCAGCCGCGTGTTTGTGGCAGTGACGCTGTATGGGGCTGTGCGGCTGACGGTCACCCTTTTCTTCCCCTCAGCCATTGAGAGGGTGTCAGAGGCAATCGTCAGCATCCGAAGAATCCAGGTTGGTGGCAGGTGCCATTTTAAAGCTGTAGGTGCCTTTGAAGTAAAATGATGTCTTCTTTTGTTTAGTGTCACTGTGTTGCAGTTCAGTGACATTCAACTCTCTAATAACCAAAATGTGCTACCATTCCAAAATATTGTATGTACTTACCTGTCTGTCTTAGATAGAGTGCACTAAAAACAGTGCAAGAATTGTGATCATTTATGGGCAGCAATGTAAACTGCGGTGCCCCAGGGCTTTTGATGTACCAGTGGTAACTGCAGGTGTGATTAAAATGTCTAAGCTGTCTAAATAGGAAAAGCAAATAGATTTCATCTCTTAGGTTAACACAAATGAATAAGTAGTGAGTATGGGCTGAGTATGATTCTTTTGTGGACTGGAAGGAAAGAGAGTGCTGGAGGTCCCTACTTCCTGATCAGGAAGAATGGCTTCAACTTCACTTAGCTATCCCTGTTGAAAAATGAGTTCTTTCCTCTGTGGATGTTTTCCTTGTTAATTTCTGTGCATGCCTTTAGGATCTCTGCTGTTTCTTTCCTGTCCTCTTTTCACTTTTTTCATACTGTTGAAGAACCTATCTCTAACAAGCTTCTTTCTTCCCAATTGGTTGATGTCCACTGCCTTGCTCCATTTGTACTACTGTACAAATACCTGAGACTGGCTAATTTATAAACATTAGACATTTATATCTCACAGTTCTGGAGGCTGGGATGTCCAAGATCAAGTCTCTGGCATTGGTGTCTGGTGAGGACCGCTCTCTGCTTCCCTGATGGGCCTCTACATCCTCACATCGTGGGAGAAACAGAAGGGCAAAAAGGGCCTGGTTAGTTGCCTCCAGCCTTCTATAAGGACACTAATTCCCTTCAGGAGGGCTCTGCCTTAGCGGCCTAATGACCTCTTTTTTTTTTTTTTTTTTTTGAGATGGAGTTGTTTTGCTCTTGTCGCCCAGGCTGGAGTGCAGTGGCACAACCTCAGCTCACCACAACCTCTGCCTCCTGGGTTCAAGCAATTCTCCTGCCTTAGCCTCCCGAGGAGCTGGGATTATAGGCATGTGCCACCATGACTGGCTAATTTTGTATTTTTAGTAGAGACGGGTTTCTCCATGTTGGTCAGGCTGGTCTCGAACTCCCGACCTCAGGTGATCTGCCCGCCTTGGCCTCCCAAGTGCTGTGATAGGCTGAGCCACCTCCCCTGGCCTAATCACCTCTTAAAGGCTCCACCGCTTAACACTGACACTGGGGTGAAGTTCCAACCTATGATTTTAGAAAAGGCATGCCCATGCAAGCGATAGCATCCACTTTATACATCGTCACCTTTTCCTAAGTAGCTGTCACTAAATTGCTAGGGGCAAATAATTTATATCACCAAGGTAAGGTCCAGGCACTTAATTGTATGCTGAGGTCTTTGTGTGTTTATGAATAGGTTGAAAGTTAAAATAAATTGGCTTTGTGAGAGGGGTTGGCAAGAACTTGACTGTCTAAGCTGTTAAAAAAAATCTGCTTTGTTTTATTCCTGGTTCTTAACAGAGATGGATGCCCAAGGACAGACTCTAGTGAACTTAGCTGACATTGGCTGTGATTTTTTTTTTTTTTTTTTTTTTTTGGTGGGGAGAGAGTAGGGTGGGTGTTGTCATAAAAGCTAAGATTCTTTTTTATGATGAAGTTTGTTTTTAAAGAAGAGATCTTGCTTGTTACCCAGGCTGGAGCATAGTGGCTATTCATAGGCAGACTCTCACTACTAATCAGCAAGTTTGTATTCCATAAAAACTATTGCCTATTAAACAGACCAATTCTTATCCCCATTCTTTCTGACAACACCTTCGGGTAACACTGTGAAGGGATGGTTTGTGCAGTTCAGTAACATTTTTTTTTTTTTAAGACAGAGTCTTGCTCTGTCTCCCAGGCTAGTGTGCAGTGGTGCGATCTCAGCTCACTGCAACCTCCGCCTCCTGTGTTTAAGCAGTTCTCCACCTCAGCCTCCTGAGTATCTGGAATTACAGATATGTGGCACCACACCTGGCTAATTTTTTGTGTTTTTTGGAGAGATGGGGTTTCACCATCTTGGCCAGGCTGGTCTTGAACTCCTGACCTCGTGATCCACCCACTTCGGCCTCCCAAAGTGCTGGGAATACAGGCATGAGCCACCGCGCCCGGCCTCAGTAACACTTTTTAAATGTAGCCTTTGCGTCTTGAAAGAAAGAACTTAGGAATATACTTTGACTAGAGTGTCTTTCTGAGTATGCACGACACATTTTTCAGATGGAAACGCCACATGTGTGTTGTGCTGCTGTAATTCTGTGACTGCTGTTGCGGTCCTTCACTTTGATTGCAGGTGCTGGTGTGTGTACGGTGGACCAGGGCTCCTGGAAGCTGTTGCATGTTATTTCATGTTATCCTTACAACTGAAAGAGACAAACATTAGTGTCCCCACTCTACAGGGAATGGAACTGGCTTCTGTAATAGGTTAAGGAGTTTGCCTACCTTTACATAACTTGTAAATGATAGAACTGGGAATCCGTTCAGAACCATGATTTCTTAACCATTGTGTTGCCTATGATACTATGGTCTGTTTTCCTACTGCTGTAAAGAACTTCCTGAGCCTGGGCAATTTATAAAGGAAAGAGGTTTAATTGACTCACAGTTCAGCATAGTTAGGAGACCTCAGGAAACTTACAGTCATGGCAGAAGGGGAAGCAGGCACTTTCTTCACGGGGCGGCAGGAAGAAGAAGTGCAAGCAGGACAAATGCCAGACGCTTATACAGACCATCAGATCTCGAGAGGACTCACTATCACTATTACTAGAACAGCATGGGGGAAACCGCCCCAATGATCCAATTACCTCCCCTGGGTCCCACCCTTGACGTGTGAGGATTATGGGGATTATAGTTCATAATTATGGGGTTACAACCTGTAATCCCAGCACTTTGGGAGGCCGAGATTTGGGTGGGGACACACAGCCAAACTGCATCACCTATGTTGCTGCCTTCGTATCCTCTGGTGTGAGATATTTCCTTCAGTGTTCTTTTACTCATCTGGTCTTATTCCAAAAACCTTGAAAGGTTCTCTGTCTCCTGTGGAGTCATGTTTTTGAACTCTAGGTGTTGGGCTCACCTGGCCACATTGTGTGTTTCCCAGCACATAACTCATCTGTTCCTGCTTTGGGGCTTTTTGCTCTGTGTGGCTGGGGTGTCCTCCCCTCTGTCCTTGACTTAAGGAAATACTACTAAGCCCTCCAGCCAGGTCCCAGGAACCTGGCAGTACTTTTGTTCCTGCTGAGCAAGGCCAAGTACCATGCAGCTCAGTGTTGATAGACACATAGTGGGCACCAAATGCTGAATGGACAGAAGCAGCAACCATAAGAAAAGACTGGGGCCCAATACAGACCCAAGGTGGCCCGGCCGGTGCTAGAAGCTAGAGGCAGGCCAAGCAAGGAAGCAGACTCAAGTTGGGGATTCCCAGAACATCGGGCCTTGTTCAAGGTGGGTGTGAGGGTCCTCAACTTTGGGGAACTGGATCTCTCTCAGAGTGGACTGGATCGGAGTCTCTGCCTCATTATTTGTGTCCCATATGCATCTCAAACCTGATTGGATTTGGTGGACCTGCTCCTCTAAGAAGGGACCATGTCTGATGTTAAATATAGACCCTCCTGGCTGGGTGCAGTGGCTCACGCCTGTAATCTCAGCACTTTGGGAAGCCGTGGTGGGCAGATCACTTAAGGTCAGGAGTTCGAGACCAGCATGGCCAATGTGGTGAAATTCTGTCTCTACTAAAAATACAAAAATAGTCGAGTGTGTTTGTGTATGCCTGCAATCTCAGCTCCTCAGGAGGCTCAGGCTTGCTTGAACCCAAAAAGCGGGGGTTGCAGTGAGTTGAGATTGTGCTACTGCACTCTAGCAGCCTGGGCGTCAGAGGGAGACTCTGTCTTAAAAAAAAAAAAAAAAAACGCTCATGACTAGGCTGTGAAACAAGAGAGTTTTCCTTGGGCCATGTGGAGAAATAGAAACAGTCTTACTTGTTTAATTAGTTAGTCTGTCTTCCTGGCCATTAAAAGATAAATGAAGATTAAGACCATGGAGCTTTATAGGAATAACTGATGAGTACTTACTAGGTAGCAAGCAGGGGGCCAAGTGCCTTATGAATATTCATTCCTTTTACTCCTGTAACTCCTCTATCATTCCTACATTACAGATAAAGAAACTGAAATCTGGGGAGGGTAGATAGCACCTCTCTACCTTTTCAGTTAATAAAAGGCTGATCTGGGACTTTACTCAGACTGTCTGTCTGTCTTAGAAGTGTAGCTGGGTGCGGTGGCTCACCTGTAATCCCAGCACTTTGGGAGTCCAAGGTGTGTGGATCACTTGAGGTCAGGAGTTCGAGACCAGTCTGACCAGCATGGTGAAACCCCGTCTCTACTAAAAATACAAAAGTAGCTGGGGATTGTGGCACGCATCTGTAATCCCAGCTACTCTGCAGGCTAAAGCATGAGAATCACTTGAACCCAGGAGGTGGAGGTTGCTGTGAGCTGAGATTGTGTACTGCACTCTAGCCTGGGCAACAAGAGTGAGACCCCATCTCAAAAAAAAAAAAAAAAAAGTGCACATTCTTACCCCCACATGCACAGCATAACCTGAATGCAGATTGTACTTCTGTGTGGCAGCCATAGGAAATAATTGAACAAAAAGCAGCCCCAACTGGTGGTATGGCAGGGTGGGACATGTACTTTGTGTCCTCACTAACTCCCTGGGCCTCAGTTTTCTTTTTTTTTTTTTTTTTTTTTTTTTTT